ATAAGTAAATAGAATATCTTTTTATTTCTTAGGACATTGCTGAAGAATTTTTAATGAAGTTAATTTTTTTAAGGGCTTTTGCAGAACCACAGATGTTTTTGAACTCATTTAATCCAGCTTCATCATTTTACAGATGAGCTATTTCAGGCACCATTATGGTTTACCTAATATGTCAGAGCAGAACTATTTAACCCTAAGTTACTTGAATATTTTTCTTGTTTTCTTTCTACACATTTTTCATTTAAAAACTATCAACCCCCCTTGGGTTGAGTTCAAGACATAATGTTTTTAAAGCTAGATTGTAGTGTAAAGTGAATAGTACTTTAGCAGGGTTTTGTTAAAACAATGAAACATTGTTTTATGTGACTGTCTGAAGTTTAGTACCAGAATGACATTTCACATTTGTATGCTTTTAAACACAAGTAAGGCAAATGTTTCAGAGCCACTGATGTAGACCTTGTGTTACTTTCCTCATCCAAAATAATTGGTATCCATGTAAACATTCTGAACCAGTCAACTGACCACATTAGCTCATCTCACATGAGCTATTACAAAATGAGGTTTTGGATGCTTATGGTTAGTTAGTTGAAATGATGCAAGTTCTTTTGAACTTACTAGTATTTATTTTCCTAGGTTTTGTGTATACATTTTATTAAAAAAAATAAACTTTTGCTTGATTTCTTCTTCCCCAGCCCTTTATGTATTACTTCTCAGCTGAGGCTCCCAAACTGAATTGTTTTTTTCTGGCTGCTTTTAAATTTTTTCTCTTCATCAGTGGTTTTCAGCAATTTGGTTCTGATGTGCCTAATAAAAAAGTGGTAGGTTTCTTCTGCTTGGAGTTCTCTGAGCTTGTTGGATCTGTGAACTTGCGTTTTTCTTCAGATTTGAAAATTTTTAGCACTTATTTCTTCAGAGATTTTTTTCTGTGCTTCCTTTCTCTAGTTTTGGACTCCAATAACACGTATGTTAGACTGCTTGATATTGTCCCACAGGGTACTGGTGCTGTGTTCTTTTTATTCCCCTCGATTTTTTTCTCTCTATTTTGGTTAGTTTCTATTGCTGTGTCTTCAAGTTCACTGATCTTTTCTTCTGCTATGTCTAATCTGCTATTAACTGCCTTGGGGTATTTCTCATTTTGGTTATATTTTTCATCTCTGTAAGTTCCATTTGAGTCATTTCTGGGTCTGTTTTTGTTGGTTTTTCTCCTGGCTGGTTTGGGTCATAATTTTCTGTTTCTTTGGTAATCTTCGATAGGATGACAGAAACTGTGAATTTTAATTATTGGGTGCTAGACATTTTTTAAAAATTCTTTTAATAACAGTGGGCTTTGTTCTGACATGTAATTAAGTTACTTGGATGGAAAGTAAACCAATAACATTTCCAACAGGTGTGAATACCATCTTGACTGAGTTAAGTAAACCCTAAGAAAGTATTAAATATGCATGGTTTCACCTTTGTGTAGTGCCTGCCCTAAAATTCATTTTAAGTATGAATTACATGAATATAGTGGCTGATAGCGTCACATGGCTTTTTTTCTAACTTATTTTCTGTGAGGCATAATTAATAAGGAGGAAAAAAAATATTATGTTTTGCCTTATTTTAATATGTTGATTATGACAGTATGCACTTTATTTCAATGTGATTCTTTAAGGTTTGCTGTTAGAATAATTAAATAATTTAGAAATACTTTGAAGTCAGTAGTAGTTTACTGTGTCCATGTGAAGGTATAAAGACTAAGATAGATGACTTTTGTTTTGTAATAGATGCAGGTTTGAAAACGAGATTGTTACCTTCTGTAGAATTATTACAAGGATTTATTCTTCCACTTTTATTTGGGGAGAGCAGCCAAATGAATTTTTCCATATGTGGGGAAGTAATTTGTCCACAGTTGTAGGACAGCACAACACAAATAAATACATTTTTCTCTTTCCCCAAATTAAAGTCTTCATAAAGGTTAACTTTTTTATTATATGTGCTTTCCTAGACTCTTCTTACCTACTAAAGTACAGGACTCATTTCTGTGATATATAGATCAGACAAGTGTACTTGTTTATTTTTAAAAATCAACTCTACTTGTGTTTAGATCGTGACTCTCCTTAGGTCAAGGGGGCTTGACATTTGTATCACGGAAGTTTGGCATTGTCAGTCCATTTTTCTCTTTCCCCAAATTAAAGTCTTCATAAAGGTTAACTTTTTTATTATATGTGCTTTCCTAGACTCTTCTTACCTGCTAAGGTACAGGACTCATTTCTATGATATATAGATCAGACAAGTGTACTTGTTTATTTTTAAAAATCAACTCTACTTGTGTTTAGATCATGACTCTCCTTAGGTCAAGGGGGCTTGACATTTGTATCACGGAAGTTTGGCATTGTCAGTCCCTCTTCAAAAAATCCAATTCCATGTTCTTTGCTGTATGTTAATTCATTTATCTGCATAATATTGCTGGATACTAGTAAAACAGACCATTTTATATTTTGCATAGTCTTTTATTTCTATTACTTTGATTTTTTTATAAATCTTCACAATTGATTTTTTTAATCTTCATAACTGAATTTCCCAAAATATTTCAGAATGTAGACCTTACAAATTCTAAATTAGTCTTAATAGTTTTAGAAAGATTCAGTAATGTATGCCTCACTCATCCAGGAAGGCTGGGACTTAGCCTTAGCTCCCAAATTTCACATTCCTACTTACTGCAGATGGTGTGTTCTGAAAGAGTATTTATTTGCTATTTCATATCAACTCCATTTTTCTGTTTATTCTGGTACTCCCTGCTATCTGGCTTTGATGTATTTAACTGACTAAATGTTTGTGCTATAGTTTTTTAGTGATTACCATTCTAACATAAGAAATATATTATTGTGGAAATGCACTGAATGTTTGTGAGCACTATGCTGGAAACTACTGGAGGTACAAAAACGATAATGTACAAAGCCTTTCCTTACCATTCACTTTAAGTATAATAGTGGGGAAATTAAATAAAAACAAAAACCTTATAATATTGAATTTGAAAGAATTTAAAAGATGTTAAAAATGTTCAAATGGTTTCCAGTCCTATACCAGGCCAAACTCCGAAGTGCAGAGCTCTTAATGTGCAGCTGATGAGCAAAGAGCGCATGTTCTCTTAGTGCTTGGTGAGTGAGCACAGTGACTTCCAAGGGCTGTGGTGTGAATAGTATCAGTCATTTAGCAGACCCTCCTTATATTCTGACTCTTCTGTTAAGCATACGTGATTGAGTTTAATCCTCATAGGAACGGAGTCTGAGTATTTATTATTCTTGTTTTGTAAAAGTGCTATGTAGAGATTTTAAATAAATTGTCCAAAGCCCATACAGCTAGTAGGCAGCACAGCTAGGATCTGAACATAGGTCTATCACACCACAAAGACTATGCTGTTAATCAAAGCCAGTGCTATTAATCAGTAAATCATACAGAAAAGAAATAGATGACCTTGGCATTTACTGCCATGTCCTTTAACCAGCCAAATCAACTATTTTACAGTGAGTGTCGAAGAAACAGATATAAGAAATTTCAAGTTAACCAGTAAGTTATACTATTTGTTGTATGGCTTTATGAGACTTAAATAATAAACGTAGTTAGCTTAAGGGACTAGATAGGTGCATTTAAAATCTATTTCTGAATTTTCTCCCAGTTTAATTTGTTTTAGTTAGCTTTGAGAGCATTTATCATGCATGTTCTAAATTTGTAAAATTCTGCAGCATTTTAATTTTTCTAAAGATAATTTCTTTCCTGAAGTTTCATTTGTCAGTCTAATTTAATAATAATGGTATCAAACACTTTAGAGTGGTTTTTCTTTTTCCCTTTTATGATTTTGAAACAGCTTTGATTTTATATCAAGATAGAAATTACCAGGAAGAAAACTGGTTGTATACTGGATATAGTTTCGAGTTGCATTTATAAATTATGAAGTGTATTTTATAAAGATATTCAGGGTGAGGTAGACTGTGACGATATATATTTGGAAAGAATTTCATGATTGATTCCTCCCAGTTCATTGTTTTAGAATTGTATTTATTCTCAGTTTGTATCAGTAAATTTAATTTTGTTTGCTTTGCAAAAATTGAATTTTATCAGAATAGTGATATTATTTGGAGTATTGGCTGGGGATAGAGAATTGGCAGGCAGTTTTTCCAGAGAACAAGTTAATGAGGAATCGCATTTTGAATGTGAAAGAGAAATGAATTCCTTTTTCTTCTTCCACAGTATCCTTCTCCTGCACACCCTCATCTGAGCTCTGCACTGTGGTTGTTCACCCCACTCCGTTTTTTTTATTATGTTAAAATACACTTAACATGAAATTTACTATCGTAACCATTTTTAACTGTTCATTGGTATTAAATACATACATAATGTCTGCACTGTAGTTTTTATCAGAGAACTTAGAAATATTGACCTAGCTTACTTGATGAGCACTGTATGCTTTGCTGTGTGGGCCATGGCAAGGTGTTCCTATACTTCCTGTTCTATCTGTGCCCTTCAAAAAGAGAAAGGAGTGAGGTGCTGAAGTTCAGGGCAGGGCTGAACTTGCCCACTCGTCAATTAAGCTTGTTAGTAGCTAGCACACAAATACAGTTTTCGTTCCATCTGATTTGTATCTTCTACTCTTTTGCTATTTTTCCCCCTGATCCGTAAGTTTTCAGTTTTAAACTTCATGTATGTTAGAGTTCTATAGCTGTTTTACATATCAGCTCAATCCATATGGTACTCCTTATTCCATGGTGAGAGCAGCAGCAGTCGCAATCATTACTCCCTTTGAAAGAAAAGTTCTCCTTGTGAGTTTCCACAGGTGTAAGAGTATCAGAGAAGGATTGCAGTGCTGAGGAGACATATACAAAGAAAAGTTTTACAAAGAGCTCTTTAAAAAATTGTAAGTAATTTAAATTTGAATTCACTTAATTTGTTACTGAATATTTTCTCTATTTATTGTCTCTTACAGGCAAGAGTGCACCTTAGGAGATTCCACTTGCAAGGGTCTTGAATCTGATCCAGAGGACTTTTCAGATGAAACACATACAGAAAATCTTTATGGCACCTCTCCCCCCAGCACACCTCGGCAGATGAAACGCATGTCAACCAAACACCAGAGGAATAATGTAGGGAGGATGGCCAGTCGGTCCAACTTGAAAGGTGAGTCTTGTACTTAAAAAGACATGCAGGAGAGGGCATGGTACTTTTGGTACATAATCTTTATATAACATGTAGCTATTGATTGATACTTTCTAAAATAACCTTAGTAATTCCTTTTATTTTAAATTTGATTTTTTTTTTTCCTTTTTGTCTTTTTTACTGACCGGTAACAGGATCGCAACCCTCAGTGTTGCGCCCGCACCGCGCTCAGCCAGTGAGCGGGAACCGGTCTCCACATGGGATCCAAACCCTCAGCGGGAGCGCCGCCGCACTCCCAAGCGGCGCACTCTCCAGTGCGCCACTGGGCTGGCCCTTAAATTTGATTTTAATGATGCTTTTAAATTTTATATTTTAACTTTTAAATTATTACCATTAGCAATATTGTTAATAATAGAGATAAATAATTCTCCACAGACAGAAAGGTTTGTCTTGAGTAATGGTTGAAGTCAGTGATGTGAGGCATTTGAAGACGTCAAAGATGCTGAGTGTTTCCCAACATACTAATCCAAGATTGCTGCTGGTTATATGAGATATGTGACCTTCTGTCAATCTTTCAGTCTCTTAGGCTGAGATTTCTAGATTCTCTCTGTCTAGAAATGGTATATTGGGGGTTTGAGGAGAGATAGAGTCCAGCATGCTTCCCCTGGATTCCTTAGCCATCTTGAGACCTCTGTTCTCTGCCAGTGACCTGTGGTGCTGCCTTTAGTGTGTAGGGCTTTGTTTCTCTCTGAGTCCAGCAACTAAATGGTACCCACAGCTTATAACCATGGTCAGAACCTGTCTTCTACTTGTCTTTTTGTTTAGGATCCCAAAGCTCAAATAGTTAGTACTCTGCTCCTGGAAGCTGAGAGTATTCGCCCTTTTTATTTCTTCCTTCCTCGTAGCAGGGCATAACTGTTCTTCTCTGAGGTAGATGAGCTGAATCATGCTAAGCTACTGCCTCCTTATGCCCTACATTATTGTCTGGACCTTCAAGTCACCAAAACCTTATGGTTTTAGAATTTCCCCATTAATTTTAACAAACCACTCCTCCTAAAACAGATCACATAGCTTCCAAGAATTCATCCGTCTATTGCTGTACAAGATATGGATTTAGTTCTTTATCTCATCTGAGAAATTTCTCCCTGTTGACCGCAAGCTCAACAGTCTTCATGCCCTTTCTTTAAGCCTCCTTGTTCTTCCTCTTTGGTCAACTTCCCCTCCCTACAGGTTTCTTCAGTATGTTGATCTCTCATGCTTGTAAGTTGGCATGTTTGCTCTGCATCCCCATTAAAACCCTTCCTCAAAAAAGGAGGACAAGAGAAGTGGGTTTCACTGAATTTTTTTGCTGTGTGAAATCTTATCCAAGGAGGAAAGAATCTTTCTTTCCTATAGAAGATGATTATTTTACTTTCTTTTAAAACTTTATTTGCAGTAGTATGTTAACCTATGGCCTATACTTACCCTTTTGGCAACTAATAGCTTTCCATTACAAATGGTCATCTTGAAAATCAATCATTGTCTGTTTTCTTAAAGAAATTTCTCAAATGCCTGCAGAAGTTTCTTATCTAAAGGAGATTATGGGGCCGGCCCAGTGGCGCACTGCTACAGTGCGCCGCTTGGGAGTGCGGCGGCGCTCC